ATCTAATTCACACTTAAAGGTAAAGGGACCCCTGACCATTAGGTCCAGTCGTGACTGACTCTAGGGTTGCGGCGCTCATCTCGCTTTATTGGCCAAGGGAGCCAGCGTACAGCTTCCAGGTCATGTGGCCAACATGGCGAACCAGAGCAGCGCACAGAAATGCCGTTTACCTTCCCGCCGGAGCAGTACCTATTTATCTACTTGCACTTTGACGTGCTTTCGAACTGCTAGGTTGGCAGGAGCAGGGACCAAGCAACGGGAGCTCACCCCATCACGGGGATTCAAACCGCCGACCTTCTGATCGGCAAGTCCTGGGCTCTGTGGTTTAACCCACAGCGCCACCCGCGTCCCAATTCACACTTAGTTAACCCCAAACCCAGCCACCCTTCAGAAATTGCACTTCTCCAGTTTTTGCCTTGCAACTCGCCATCCAGGTAATGTGTATGAAAACGCATATACAAAAAAAGGTATCACAGTGGGGAAATCGCTGTCCAGAAACGTGTATATTGAGACAAATCCACACTATAATGATGAAGAATTTACATGAGGACTTTTTTTTTTAATGACATGGAAATTTGGAGAACTGAACGTAAGTTTGGGGAAAAATGAGAAACTGAGCATTGACAGATTCACCTACCTCCAGCCATAAATGAGCCACTCTTTCTTTACTTAATGGTAGCCTCTGGGAGAGCTCTCCCTTTCCTTGTGAAGGAAGCAAACCCACTGGTGTCCAAAAGCACAACCCAAATTGTGTCTGCTCATTAGTAAGTCTTGCTGAATAGAACTGGGCTTACTCTCAAGTAAGTGAGGCTGGGATTGAAGCCTTACCATCCAGGCACCTTTTATCATATGTGGTGGAAGTGCAAGGTAATATAAGCATTCTGGGAAATGATATATAATGAATTTTTAAAAAGTTTAAATTAACTTTTATTAAAAACAAACAAAACAACAACAACACCAGAGGCTTTTCTATTAGGAATTGTACGTGAGGATATTCCAAGGGAGCAGAAAATACTTTTTATGTATGCAACAACAACCGCACAGATGCTATTAGGCCAGAGATAGAAAGAAGATAAAGTCCCTACCAGAGAAGAATGGCAAATTAAACTGTTGTACTATGCCGAAATGGCAAAACTGACTGGAAAGCTCAGGAACCAAGACCAAAACTTTAACAAAGAATGGGGGAAATTGTAATTTATCTTGGAGGCCACTGTAAGCAGATGAAAACACCAGCAGGATTGCAATAACACTTGTGCTATGGAGACAATGGAGTTATATAAAATACAGATTATTTGAAAAGATGCAGTAGAAAATGTTTAACAAAAGGACCCATGGAGGAGAAGGGGGGAAGTCCAGAGATTCGAGGGAATCTTTTAACTGTTGAGATGTGTGATTGTATTGTTATAATTTTATATTTGTAAAATCAAATAAATTTTTTTTTTAAAAAAAAGAAGAAGTCTTACCATCCATTTACCACCCTTCCCACTTGCATTTATAATATGCGGATAGAAGCATGTGTGCTCAGGTTGTGCCCCAAAATAATTTTATTTGGATAGCCCTAGTGCTTTTTTTCCTGGGGGTACGCAGGGGGTACGCATACCCCTAAACATTTCGTGAATCTAAGTTTGGCCTCATTGAGGAGCAGTATCTCTATATGAGTAGGAAAATGAGAGTACCCCTAAAGCGTGTTCTCACTAATAGAGAGCATGTGTTGCGGTGGAGTCTAGCAGGCCACCCCACTGTTGTGGGCTGATCTGTTTGGATGGCCACAGGCTGTGATTGGGTACTGGTGTTTCTGGGGAGATTTTGATGTTGCCAATTTGTGGGTTGGGCTCAAAGGTTTTAAATACTGGGCAGGCAGCTTTGAGCATCCTCTTTTGCTGCATGCATTGGATCACCCGCCCACCCTCCCTGAAATGGAGATTTTGCGCTTGACCTTGCTATGCCTGTCATGGAGTCACCTGCTTTGGGGTAGGGGCCTGGTAGGAATTTTGTCCATTTGGATGATTGGCTGGAGCCATTTGGTTTTTGCCTACTGCGTAGCCAATCGTCACAACTTGTAAGGTTTGCGGTTAGGCATTGGTTTAAAAATTGGTTGGTGGAGGGGTAAGTGCCTACCCCTCCAAGGCTGGTGCTGCAAGGGAATTCCGTTAAAGGAATCCGGGGGCTTGCCATGCTTTCGTCCAAGTCCCTGGCATCGGGCTTGGCCTCTGGGAGCATGTGAGCAGAGGTGAGGGTCTGGTGCCCAGCTTCATTTCTCCCTGATATTGTTTTCCCTGACTGGCTTCCGCTGGAATCCGGAAGTCAGTTCTGTCACTGGGCGGGGGGACAGATAGTCATAACCAATGCCTAAGCAACCACTCACAGTTATGTATTGAAATAAATGTATTTAAATTATGCCAAAAACCTTAAACAAAAATTATGTGTGATGTGTGAGTTATTGGGGTGGCTTGGGAACCTCAACATGGAAGCATTTTTTTTAGGGGAAAAGCACTGGACAGCCCCGCACCTTTGTCTTTTAGCATTTGGACAATGCTGGCCTAAGCAGTCTAAACCCCCTCTTGCTAAAATAGACTGTGCTTCTGTTGAGGAGCTGCTCTGTCACCATTCATCTTCCAGATTGGTTACAACTAACCGGAGCCGGTTCCACTGCTGGTCTCCGTTCAGGAAACATCCAAGTCTTTAAGAAACATGGGAGAGCAAATGTTTACGGACCGTGTAATTAATATGATGATTTGCTCTGTCTATTGGCCCTTAGCACCGCATTTCCTGTGAAAGTGGTAGAAAGCTTCCCCCTTTTTCTCTCCCCCCCTTTTTTTGAAAAGCAAGCTGCTATTTTACTTTGACGAACAAGTCATCTTCCAAATGAACAAATGATCTATTAGAAGCTGAAGAGAGTATTCCCATGGGAATAGTCATTTTGCTCCTTTTTTACAGCTAATTTCTTTCATACGGCAGGTTCCCAGACACATCAAATGCCTCACATGTTAAGCTGTTAGTCAAGATTTATAGGCTCTGTGAGCGTAAGTCAATGTTAAATCGTTCTGATAACATGAGGGCTGGCAGGCAAACTTATTCTCAGGGATTTTCATTTTCATTTTTTTTTAAGAGGGAGGGAGGGAGGGAGGCTGAGATCAAGTCGGAGTATCTGAAGTGTTTCCTTGACATAAGAAATGGCTTTCTTTTGGCCCATCCTTCCTATGTCTACTTGCTTCATTGGAGACTTCAGCACTGAGATGTTCTAAGCCTGACAAGCTACAAACCGCTGCGGAAAAGTACAGTGCTGTAAAATTGCTAGTTATGATCACAATATTAAAATGTCCAGTAGCTGGCCTATATACCCTACATAATGTGACAAGGCTGCCAAAAACATTTATTTTGCTACCTGAGGAAAAAGGTAAGATGGCGTCACCTCCACTTCCTCCAATCAGTGGTGTACAAAAGATGGTAAGCCCATACCCTCCAATATTTCTCCAGTGAAAATAGGGATGTCTTTTTCAATAATACTACTACAGTCATACCTTGGTTGACGAACGCCTTGCAACTCGAACGTTTTGGCTCCCAAACGCTGCAAACCCAGAAGTGAGAGTTCCGGTTTTCGAACGTTCTTTTGGAAGCCGAACGTCCGACAAGGCTTCCGTGGTTTCCAATTGGCTGCAGGAGCTTCCTGCAGCCGATCAGAAGCTGCACCTTGGTTTCTGAACATTTTGGAAGTCGAACAGACTTTCAGAATAGATTCCATTCGACTTCTGAGGTACCACTGTACTACTAATCAGCCTCGGTCCTGCATACCTGAAAGAGTGTCTCCACCCCCATCATTCAGCCCGGACACTGAGATCCAGCGCCAAGCGCCTTCTGGCGGTTCCCTCTCTGCGAGAAGTGAGGCTACAGGGAACCAGGCAGAGGGTCTTATTGGTAGTGGCACCCGCCCTGTGGAACACCCTCCCTTCAGATGTCAAGGAAATAAGCAGCTATCCTATTTTTAAAAGACATCTGAAGACAGCCCTGTTTAGGGACGTTTTTAATATATAGTGCTGTATTGTTTTTAACACTGGATTGGGAGCTGCCCAGAGTGGCTGGGGAAACTCAGCCAGATGGGCAGGGTATAAATTATTATTATTATTATTATTATTATTATTATTATTATTATTATTATTATTATTATGTGACTGGGTTGACCCAGCCACTCTGGGCAGCTTCCAACATATATAAAAACATTAAAAAAATAAAACCTTTAAAAAACTTCTGTATACAGGGCTACCTTCAGAGGTCTTTTAAAGGTTGTATATTTACTTATCTCCTTACGCTTGGGGGGTGGAATAAGTCCATACCCTCCAACATTTCTCCGATGAAAATAGGGACTTCCTAAGGAAACGCAGGACATTGCGAGATCAAATCAGAAACCAGGATGGCTTCTGTAAATATGGGGCTGTCCCTGGAAAATAGGGACACTTGGTCTGTAAGCCTAGCAGTTGAATGCTACTTCAGCACTGGTAATGGGAGAACCTCCTCCATTGCAGCTAAGGGCAGCATGCTGGTCTGGGGGCTACAGAATAGGCTGTGTGACATATTCTGTGTGCTCCCTGACCCTCAGCACCTGCTGCCTGAGATGGCTTCTTCCCACTGCCTAATGACAGGGCCAGCCTTTATAAATATATATGGGCGTAGGACTACTCTAAATAATACACTGTAGGCATTTTAAAAATTAAAAATTGGATTATATAATCAATTGGAAAAGGTAGTAAGAGGATGCAAGAGATCCAAATACCTCAGCAACTGTAACAGAGGCTGCATATACAGTGTATTTCATTTTTGCTTCTTTTCCGCTTCTTCTATCTGTCTAGGATTTAGCAACAGCACAATTTCTATATCCCCAGTCCAGCTGTTTGTTTGAAGAATTTATAGCCTATTCCTTTTCAGTTCTCAAAGAGGGTACTGACAATAAAATAACCACACAGAATAAAAGTGATAAAGATCAAAACAACAATATAGTGTGCTACCTGGATTCAGATTGTGGCTTCCCCCTTCCTCGCCCAGCCAAATGTTTGTGATTGCAATCTGCAAAGGAAATAGAAAAACTCAACACCCTGAACGGGACAACCTAAATTCACAAGCAAAGGCCATTTATCTCATTGAAAGCCGTGGGAGATCTAATGACAGCAGAGAGATTTCTTTAGAGGGACCACCGCCACATATTATGCCCCTTCCCAAAGTTTGTTGTTTTTATTTTATTAATAAAATTTTATTGGTTTTAAAACTTTTTAAGAAAACAAACAAACAACAAGAAATGACAACATACACGTATAGTTTCAAAACATATTTTATAAACTCTTTCCTTTGGACTTTCCCGATACCCCCCTCTCTGCATCCCCAAATGTCCATAATTCAACTAGCAACTCCATTGTTACTTTCCAATCTCTGTCATCATAGTCCTCTTTTATATTTTAACGCTTATATCCTGTTCCTTATGTTTCTGGAAACCGACAACATTTTAGCATTCATGTAAGTTTTATAGTGTCCCTTAAGAATAACTTTTAAATTTTCTCCATTCTTCTTCCACCGTCTCTTTTCGTTGGTCACGGATTCTGCCTGTCATCTCGGCCAATGTCATATAGTCCATCACTTTCATCTGCCATTCTTCCAGAGTGGGTAGATCTTGTGTCTTCCAATACTTTGCGATAAGTATTCTTGCAGCTGTTGTGGCGTACATGAAGAAAGTTCTATCCCTCTTTGTCACCAATTGGCCGACAATGCCCAAGAGAAAGGCCTCTGGTTTTTTTAGGAAAGGTACATTTGAGTACCTTTTTGATTTCATTATAGATCGTTTCCCAGAAGGCCTTAATCTTCGGGCATGTCCACCAAAGGTGGTAGAAGGTACCTTCAGTCTCTTTACACTTCCAACATTTGTTATCGGGCAGATGATAGATTTTTGCCAGCTTGACTGGGGTCATGTACCACCTGCAAATCATTTTCATTATGTTTTCTCTTAAGGCATTACATGCCGTAAACTTAACACCGGTGGTCCATAACTGTTCCCAGTCAGCAAACATAATATCATGACCAATATCTTGTGCCCATTTAATCATAGCTGATTTCACCGTTTCATCCTGTGTATTCCATTTCAACAACAAGTTATACATTCTTGATAGATTCTTAGTATTGGGTTCTAGCAGTTCAATCTCTAGTTTTGATTTTTCCACCTGAAAGCCAATTTTCCTGTCCTGTTTGAAAAGCTCAATGCCCCTTCCCAAAGTTTGAGGTTATGTAAGAAGTAGGCATTGTTGTGGTTCTAAGCCTGAACTCTAATCATCTGCCATTTTGCAGACGGTCTGGTTGGAGACTGACTTACGGTGCCATATTTAGAACTGGTCCACGAGCAAACCAGTCACCCAGACAGCTGGCTTTTGGGAGGGATAGACTAGCCTAATAGAGAGTTTGAGCACTGGAGAATAATAATATGAATATAAATAAGAGATCCCTCTAGGGCATGATTCTCAAAGGGTGTGGCACACCATACTGGCTTGGCAGGAGAGGACAGCAAGTGTGTTGGGAAGATTCAAGGACAACCAAAGGTACATTTAAACAAATCCCTGTTGTATAGTATTAAAATTACTGTTTATCTCTGCAGGATATGGGCAGATATCTTTTCAAAATGAGAGCTCTTTTCAAGTTGTTGTTTTCCCCCAGTGTATTCCTTATCAATAAAAAAAATTCAGCGTGGTGCAAGCAAATTTGTATTCTGAAAGTGTGGCCCAGAGAAGAAAGTTTAAGAACCACTGATCTTAAGGCATCGCGTGGTCTAACACGACCACAATAGAATGCATACGAGCACACAACACAAATCAGGAAGCTGCCTGCACATGACTCTGGTCGGTCATGTAGTGAACCTGAGCACCCTGTAGCACATTCCAGGGGGACTCTTGCACTCAGCGCCATGGAAACTGTCCCCACACAGATGAACCTGATGGATAATAATAATATTTAATATTTGGCTCCCAACTGAATATTGAAAACATGATGCAGCATTAAACATTAAAAACTTCCCTAAACAGGGCTGCTTTCAGATGTCTTCTAAAAGTCAGATAGTTGCTTATTTCCTTGACATCTGATGGGAGGACGTTCCACAGGATGGGCACCACTACTGAGAAGACCCTCTGCCTGGTTCCCTGTAACCTCACTTCTCGCAGTGAGGGATCTGCCAGAAGGCCCTTGGCACTGGACCTCGGCACTGAATGGTGGGGGTGGAGATGCTCCTTTAGGTATACAGGGCTGAAGTAGACAGCTGCCCTGGACACAGAATTGACCTGTGTCTCCATGGACAGCTGTGAGTCCAAAATGACTCCCAGGCTGCACACCTGGTCCTTCAGGGGCACAGCTACCCCATTCAGGACTAGGGAGTCCTTCACACCAGTGCTAAGGAGTCTACAAATGTTCCAGCTCATACGTGGAACATGGCCATGTGAAAATGTTTCTCAGCAGTCTCCCATGTGAGACCGTCAACACTTCTTAATTTCTTAATACCCATCAACAGGAGGCCAGGAGATATCTATCTATCTATCTATCTATCTATCTATCTATCTATCTATCTATCACCTGCCTCTTACCCTAAGGTTCCAAGGCGGGTTACAACATTAAAACACAATATTCAGGAAAGTTAAAAACAACTTACAATCACAAAAATAAAGTGGCTCCTGAAAATATACACCTTTTGTATGGGAGAAACTTCATGGCAACTTTCCAAAGGTCAGTAGGTTAGTTTCTACTTACACTCCCCATTCCCTGCCATCTCTATCCTTCCTCAAGGCAAGCAAGAAGAGTTCAGTGACGTGTTTCTGCCAGACAAAAATGTCACACTTAAGAATATTTCATGGGGTGAAGAGCTGTCTGTGAAGCAACAGAGCTGGTTTGGAAGAGGCTATGATGCCTGCTTTCTAGGGCTGAACTCCATAAAACAGCTAAGCAATTCTACTGCAAAGACCAGCTACAGAAGGTGCCGACTGGCTAGCATCAGTGACGTCACAATGACACCACCCTAAATTCCTGGAGGGGATTTGCCATTCTTTTGGAAAATGTTTCTTTCCTTTCTTTATGGGAAGGATGGATACATAGTAATATATATATATTTTCCATAGGCAAGCAGGCTGACTGAAGCATGAGAGAGAGAGAACAGCTGATGACCAAATCAGCACTCAGTTCACTGGTATAGATGTCTGTCATACACAGGCTTTCCTTGAATGTTTCTGTCTGTTTCCAGCCATAGTTGATCATTGGTAAGAAAAGGAATATATTGTCATTTTGTCCATTCAGTTGACTCAAGCCCACAATTTGTTTCCTTCCCACCTCCCCAACTACCCAGGAGAAACAATCAACATTTCTTTCATCTCCAAGGTCAACATCCTCTATGCATTAATGTGGCTATTATATAATGAGTTTTACATCTTGCTATAGGTTTAATTAGGATAGAAGCTTTTTCATGGTTGTTTAAAATCTTCCAAATTGTAGAGCAATTACTCTGTGTAATACCCCGACAGCTATTACATTTGGTTTTACTGCAAGCAATAATTGCTCACATTTTCTTACAAGGATGTAATCAACACATTAAGAAGGGAATCTCTTCTTGTGGAGCTGAAAATGAGCTCGTTTTCATTTCGCCGTTAAAAGAAAAATGAGGGAGATGCTCAAAAATAGCACATTCTCTGTCCTTTGGGGGGGGGGGGGCTACAAAAGGTTAGTAAATAATAAAGAATCAATATGGTGTCCTTTCATCTTGGGATACCCGATACTGTTTAAGTCATCTATCCGAAAGGGTTGCTTCACTTATTTCAGGAGCACCAGCAAAAGCTTATTCACAAGACCCAGCCTGATAGTACTCAAGTTTATGGTCCTATATAACAGTCCAAACCCCTCCTCATGTGTGCATTCTCTGGGAGCAGCCATCAAAAACAATCCAAATAGCCATGAGAAACTGAAACGGAAGCTATCTGTGACTTGGACCAGGTATGAGCAACATCAACTGCGCAAAGGCTTGCATGCTAGTTGCATTAGGGAAAATATATGATAACCTAGGAATCTGGGCATATCATTTCTCTGTGGAAATGTAGCAGAAGATCATCTTTTCTTCACCACCAATTCTACCATAGTGGACTCCACAGCCAGGATGGTAAAGGATGATGGGATCTGTAGTCTAGCAACATTGGATGGGCATCAGGCTAGTAAAGGCAGGTGTAGACCTTTAACTGTGCTCTATGCTATGTTCAAGGGAGGCGGGTGGCACTGTGGGTTAAACCACAGAGCCTAGGACTTGCCAATCAGAAGGTCAGCGGTTTGAATCCCCGCAACAGGGTGAGCTCCTGTTGCTTGGTCCCTGCTCCTGCCAACCTAGCAGTTCGAAAGCACATCAGAGTGCAAGTAGATAAATAGGTACCAGCCGGCGGGAAGGTAAACGGTGTTTCCGTGCGCTGCTCTGGTTCACCAGAAGGGGCTTAGTCATGCTGGCCACATGACCCGGAAGCTGTACACCGGCTCCCTCTGTGGGATGTAAACACAGGAGCAGTCAATGACAACATTCCTAGAGTGTACATGTTAGAACATGGGGGGATGTCTGTCCAGCAAGCAGGTAAACTTCCTGGGGACGGACTTCCTCCGCATGTGACCAGAGGTGGGTGTGGCCTCACCTGTGCAGGTAATAACAAAAGCACAGGGCAGGCAGACTCTCTCTCTCTCTCTGCCATCTTCCTTCGATGAGGAAACATCTAAGGATGCTCTCTTGGCTCCCAGCCAAGAGAGGAGATAAGGCCTATCTTGCTACAAGATAGATTCTAAATGTATGTAACCTTTTTAAGCTGTGCCTTCTGGGATCACATTGTGAACAGAACGTGAGTAAACTCTTTTATACTTTTATGAAGACTGTGTCGTGTCTTGTATTTTAAGAGGGAACTAAAGGGGAAATTACCAGGGTAATTATTATAGAGGTTCTAGCGAACCTGTGCACACGTTACCGTTGCGCACTTAAAGGGGAATGTTTATAAACTCTGCTGATATTTTGGGAACTTGTTAGCACAAGTTGGATAAGGATATAATTAGTCAATATATCCTCTCCTGCACCCCAGAACATTCCCACACCCTCGGCCAATAAAGCGAGATGAGCGTCGCAACCCCAGAGTCGGTCACGACTGGACCTAATGGTCAGGGGTCCCTTTACATTTACCTTTATGCTATGTTCAGAGGGAATGAGGACAAATTTCCCCACCTTTAACACTCTTACCCCCTCCCCTCACTGGTTGCCTTAGCATTTTAGTGTGGTAGTCTTTGGGGGCACTTAGCAGAAACCGTGTTTTGTCGAATAAACATTCCTGTATGGGGGCATCTTGACTTCACCTGGTTTTGGCACGCCACAATCAGGTGCCGTCACACAGTGTGGCAACTTAGAATTGCAATAAATGATCACTCAGTCAAGAAGATTGCATCCCTTCAACAAGTAAAAACCTACTGGACTGGCATGTGAACCTTACTTACCTCAACGCTGGTGACAAGATAGCACCCCTCTCCTGCATATGAAGCACATTATAGGTGGCGCTGTGGTCTAAACCACTGAGCCTCTTGGGTTGGTGGTTCAAATCCATGCAACAGAGTGAGCTCCCGTTGCTCTGTCCCAGTTCCTGCCCCCCTAGCAGTTTGAAAGCATGCCAGTCCAAGTAGATAAATAGGTGGCGGGAAGGTAAATGGCATTTCTGTGTGCTCTGGTTTCCATCACAGTGTTCCGTTGTGCCAGAAGTGTTTTAGTCATGCTGGCCACATGACCTGGAAAGCTACCTGTGGACAAATGCCGGCTCCCTCAGCCTGAAAACACGATGAGCACCGCAACCCCATAGTCGCCTTTGACTGAACTTAACCATCCAGGGGTCCTTTACCTTTTTACCTTATGACAATTTAGGGGACTGAGAGGGCCATGTGGCAACATGTAGGATGATAGGGGGCTCAGGAGGAACATCTGGGAACTGCTGTTGCTGCCCCACAGCATTTTTTACCTGCGGCTGTTGCTCCCCTCTGTCTAATGGTAGGGCCAGTCATCCTGGATGATACCTGAGTTTTCCTATGAATCTTTGGGAATATAGGATCCAGCACAGGAATTTGAACTGGCTAACCTGCGTGCTGCCACTTCAGACTCTCCAGAGCCATAAACTGCAGTGAGGAGCTGCAAAAGAGCTTCACTCGTTATGTTCCATATGCAAAGAAGATCAAGGGCAGGGGTTTATGGTTGACAGAGACGGTATCATTCTCAGATCATATTCCAACGTCATTCTGCAAAGCGGCGGGGGGTCTTTTCTGTATCGCAGCCTAGGATCAGAAATGGTTTCATGTGTGTTTCTCTTTATGCATGTGTGTGCGCGTTGAATGTTTGTTCTTTGTTTAAATAGGCCACGATTTAATCAAGGCAGTATGCCCAATAACGCAACCATTCTCAGCAGCAGGCAGCATCTTTGCTTTATCATCAGAAGTAATAAACCTAGGGAGAGTGTCAGAGGGGTTAGCCACTTGGTCTTGTCAAGCATCTCCTCCAACACATTTGCTGTGGTGGTGTGAGAACCTCTCTCTCTCTCTCTCTCTCTCTCTCTCTCTCTCACACACACACACACACACACACACACACACACTGCACATGTGCAATATGAGAACCTGTTCAGAAGATGAGGAATCTTCAGAAGATGAGGAATCTGGCACTTGCTAAGAACCGAAAAAGCATAAAGACACCCAGCAAGTTATTGGTGTGTTGGTTGGTGGTCTGCGCACATACACACACACACAATTTCAGAAGGGAGGATGCCAGCATATGGTTCCCATCTTGGAATTTCTCAAAGCTCTTTTTTCACGCTGACTCACAGATCGTTGCAACGGCTCGGGGACCCCCCTTGGTGGGAAAGTAACTAGTCAGTGACTTGGAATCACTTACTTGACAACGTGTGCCCTGTCACACAGGAGGGGAACAAATTATAGCTCTCGGCGATCATGAAGTCTTCAGATGTTATGGTTTTCTTATACAGAAGGAACTTCTGTGTGAGGAAAACACATAAATAATGTTTATATACTCCTCTGTTTCATATATGTGTATATGTGGACTGTGATTGCTTGTTGGCTGGACAGAATCCAGACCTTTAATGTACTTTTCATATTTGCACACAAGTAGGGGTGGGCAGACCTGCCCATTTCAGTATCTCTCAATTTCTCACTTAGAACAATCATGGACCATCCTAAAAAGTCAACTTTGATTTTATTTAGTTTTTTGAGGACTCTATATAGACTCATGCAAACATATACTAAAGCTGAAGTGCATCCCTGCCCCCCCCATTTGTTTACTTTGATACTGACATATCCTCGTCAATTGCATATTAAGTTACCTTTGATTTGGTCCATTTCACAAAAGGCTATCCAAAGGCTAGCCTTTTGCTTCACAAAGGCTAAACACTTGGACTGATTGGCTGGAAAGGCTGTAAGAATGAATTAGGCATTTTGCTGTTCTCAAATGTGGCTGGATTAGAAGTTACAGTATTTTCCAGCCCTTTTGGTCAATCACTATTTCCCCCCATCCTATTCGACTACTGTGAATGTCACAGCTACAGCATCCTCCCCTCCTGTCCCCTGCCTGCTTTTTTATGAATGGGGTGCCCTGTTGGTCAATCTAATAAAGGTCTTTTCATTATACTTTCTCTCTATGTCAGATGGCATTTAGAGAGGTTAAAGGGGGGAAAGTTTCAGAAAACGCATGGCATTTTCCCATCGGCTACTGTTATGATAGCACAGATTAATGTGGCAAGTATGATGCATAACAGTTCATCAGCACATTTACGGCGCACATAGGCAGAAACACATTAAATGATACATTTTCTGTGAGGGTGAGATTTGGGCTCTTGAGTCCCATTACATCATCCACAGCATCTCTATTGTCAAAAATCCAAAGGGGTTCTTTGCAAACATCTTTTGACTTAAAAATAAATAAATAGCCAAAGCTAAACCCTAACTTGAATTTTATTTTCTAGGAATGTAAAAAATAAAATAAAAGACATGGGTCTAACCAAGGCTGGCACTGCCACTCTTTTCTATTTTTGTCAGTCTTTCACAGCTGTGGTTGCAATGTAGTAGCAATTACAGTAGCCCAAGCCAATAAACCATTCTGAGGAAAGGAAATCAGTTTCCTTCGTTTGTCTGACATGGCCCAGTTTGGGGCATTCCATCAGCTACTCCTCAGTCATAGAACCTCTTAACAGATACAGGATGAATCATATTTCATTCTCAGACTCCTTTGAAAACAGGGGTTGGAACCAAAGCTTCTGAGTAATTAAAAAAGAAGAAGAAGAAGAAGACAAGAATATCCTCCCATGGTGAGCCACTCTATGCCGTATCAAGCCACGACTTGGCCTGCACACCTCTGTGTCTGAAAACAAGGGAGACTCTTTTGAAGAGTCTCACTGTTTATTTGCCTGGATCCCTCTGTGCAGACAGACAGCCCTGAGAAACTTCTGTACACATGCTACAGATGTTTTCCTGTCTGCCTTTTCTTTTGGCCGAATGCGTCTGACCTCTAACATGCCCACAGGGAAGGGAAACCAAAATAAAACACATATACAAAATGCGGGGATCAGCGGCTGGGCGGCAACACTGCTCTGAAGGCTCTGGACATGGTAGGAGATTACAAACTGAACGTGAGCCAAGTATAATAGTGGGTGCGACGACGTTACCCAGAAGGCAGTGCCATTTTTAAGCCCCATAAGAAAATGCAAGAATGAGCAAGCCATCCGAATGTTGTAGCCTTTGGGGAGACTTGTCTGGAGAAATCTGAGTCTAGAAGGGAACGCGGCACTGGAAGATGGAGGCTGAGCTATTTTTCTCACAGTGTAACTTGGAGAGCAGTGCAGGTGTTTTAGAAGTGGGGAAATGGTTTGAAGGAAAATTAGGAAAACAGCAGACACAATTGTGCACATTCTGCATTGAGTAGGGCAGGCAGAGGTTTCCTTCCTGTCCTGTGTTTGTTGCAATCAGCTCTGTTTCTTTTCTGCTACAGTTCAGCTTCTGCTAAAACCTACATTATCTGTCTCACTCGTGGCTGTGGTCAAAACAAATGCAATTAACTACATAAGTAATTTCAATACCTTTCAACGGAAGGGAAATGTCAAAAACAATGCACACCTAAGAATTTTTGGGAGATGGTTGGTCAAGGTCTTTGCAGCTATTGTTGGATATGTGGTGCCTTTTGATCCACTTTTAAGTCTTTTGGGAAACATGGAAAAGGATATTCAATCAGAACGCATAATGACAGTAGGAAATTGGTTGAGAGCTGTAAGAGTTTTCCTGGCCACTAACTGGCCAGGAAACACCTAAAATACCCTTGGTGATGGAATGGATGCTAAAATATTGTGCAATAGTTAAACTAGTGGAGATAGTTGGATCAAGGGAAGATTGGAAAAGAAGCAGTTTTAAAGATCATAATACTCTTTTTTCATTTATTTAAATCAGCAGTATAATCTACAGGTTTTTTATGATTTCATGCTGCTGAGATGAGCAACATAAGGAATTCATAATTTTGAATGCTGCAATATTAGGAAATATTTAGGAACTGGCTATGAATGATCTAACAAAAGTTGGATCTGGAGCAGGTATCATTTGGGCTCTCCTTCCAAAAGCAAAAATGAGTGGGCACTATTTTCTAAAACAAGCCATCAAAGACTGTGTGGGGTCCAATTGTGCATAATGCATGCTTACACCTTTAGTAGCCCCTGGTCTCCTTTTCAGAATTAACACCCATTTGCAGCACGCTGCAGCTCAGGCTTTCCCCTCCTGTTTCAGGAGTTTAAACTGGGTAGCTAGACCTGGACAGTTTCAATCTCACCTGCTGAGAATATCAGCTTTCTGGTGTTTGGTGGGGACAGAGAACTCTTACAGTGAGCTTAATTAAGCATGGACTGTTTGACTTAGCTGGGTTTGGACTGCAATAGGTTATTTTTCCTGGCTGGGAGCCAACCAAATAAAGTTTGTCTAGGATAAGTAGAACAGCCAGCCTCCATCCTGCTGCACCCATTCATGAGTGTCTGAGCCACTCCATGGAATGTTATAGTTTTTGAAGTGGGGAGATCCTTGATTCCTTTCTCCATTTTGCGTTGTCTCTAAATGGAAACTTTCTGTGGGATCTTAGCTTTCAGATCAGTGATAACCACCCCAACCCGAAGCTAACGCCAATACCAGTCAGTTACTGCACTGTCAGGAAAAGATTAACGTTGCGTCAGGGTGCGGAGGGACATGTCTTCCATTATTCAGCATCTCCCAGTGCATTGCATTTTAAAATGTACACTTGGGATGCCTTAGGCATGTGACTGAAATGTAATGTATGGAGGCAGTGCTCCCCCACCCAAAAAAAAAAAATGTTTAGGGGTACTCTCATTTTCCTACTCATATTGAAATACTGCCCCTCAGTGAGGCCAAACTTAGATTTATAAAATGTTTAGGGGTATGCCTACCCCTGCATCCCTCCAGTAAAAAAAAAACCCACTGCCCTTAACCAATGACAGTTATCAGGATTCTTTTTTTTGGGGGGGGGTACCATAAGTATTCTTTAAATGTATGGTGTTGGTGCGACCTTAGAGAGAGAGTTGTGAGCAGATGAAAACCTTAGCAGGATTGCAATAACACTTGGAATGTGACAAATACTATGGAGATAATGGATTTATATATGACTATATATGGACTATTGAAAAAGATGCAGAAGAAAAGGTTTAATAATAGGTCCAGTGCTTTTTTCTAAAAAATAATAATATATGTTTAGGGGTACTATCATTTTCCTACTCATATTGAAACACTGGCCCTCAATGAGGCCAAACTTAGATTCACAAAATGTTTAGGGGTATGCGTACCCCTGCGTTACCCCCCCCCCCCCGAAAAAGCACTGTATGGAGGTGACAAGCTCATGTTGAGAAATAGCTATAACATACTGTGGCATTTGCCCGTTCGTTTGAAAATGTCTGTACGGGGGAGAGAGAAAGGGTTAAAATGTAGACCAATAGGAAAACCGGAGGCGGAGCCTACCTGTTTATAAAAGGGCTTAGCCCAAGGTTTGGGAGTGGGTTATTGGTTGGTTTTAGTGGGTTGGTTGGTTGGGAAAGGCAGTTGGAAAAGCAGTTGGCAGGCAGTTGGAAATAGAGAGACAGTTAGGGCAGTGGGTTCTTATGTGAGGGGAGGTAGAAGAGACAGAGACAGGATAAAATAAGACTAAGAAGGTAAAGAGTAACAACATTTTGGAATGCAGTTAAAGTTTATTTGTGTCTGCAATAAACTACACTCTTCTTTGTTAACTTGAGAACCTGACTGAGACTAAGTGATTTACCGGGGAGGACCTGGTTGGTGGCAGCGGATTAGTGGTGCACAGGTCACTAGTCCGTGAGACGACCGGGGGGCTCCGTACGAATGCCACACATACCATCACACATGGTAGGGAGTCAGGGTTGACTGCAGCTCCCTGTTAAATGTTCATCTGAAGCCAAACCCGGGTTTGTTTTGTGTGAAACAGCCTTCAACTGCTGCTCGGTCGAAGATCTTGCTGGAGTCTTCAGCGAGGAAACTTCCTTTTCTAATTTCTGCAAAGGAATGTGCTTTGAATGCAGAACTATCAAAACAGGAGAGCAAATAAGAGTCATGAACATAGACCTACCATTGGTGATGGTTTTAAAATGGGATGAGACAGTTGTGGCAAGCTTTCTCTCATTCCCGTTGAATGTCAGCCTGAGTGAAAGTTATTGGGCCAGGCTCGCCTCCCCCACAAGTGATTTTATGGGAGTTGGATGAAAGTAGACTCTGGGGGATAAATTATCTGCATTTTTCAGGAGCCACAAAGGGCACATTTCTCTTCTGCTGCTTAGACCAAGAAGTAATATTTACTGCTGCTTTAAGCCATGGTAGAGTTTTTTGGTACCCCAGCAGCATCTGACTTTATTGACAAACAGAAGACCATGGGAATGATCCAAATTTTGTTCAAGGGACAGCCTACAGTTCAATGCCTGAGGAACAATGCCACATTAAGAGCCGCCATGACTTGCAACAGTGACAAAGGGTTTATTTATTTTAAAAAAAGAGAGGAAAAACCTTACTCTCTGCTACCTCAATTGAAAGGTACACCCTCACCAGAAAATTCAATACCTCCACCCCCAATGTTTTTAGACACTTCCTCCCCACCTTCGCAACCAGGTTATAGTTGAAATCTATATTTTTTACCTCAAAGTTTAAAAACGAACAAACTATCCGTATTTATCAATCTTTCAAAAAATGGAAATGCTCACGCAACTGGATGCTGGGTAGCTGGCAACTCATCAGATTCAAGCTAGATTGCTTCTGTACATGTCTCACGATGCACTCAGTTTCTCATCTATTTGTGTCACAGGCTGAATATACATGGTCACCTCCAGACATTTTGTCTACATTCAGAAAGAACAGTAGATGCATCCTGGCCCTGCCCACAACAGCCACACTGAATTCAGGATGTCAGAGATTGGGCAGCTGTGTGTAGGATGTTGAAGACAAGCTCAATAGCCATGGTTCTTGCTTCTCTCCTTGTTAGGCTACACACATGGAGGCAACTATGTGTCTATTCCTACGAAGGGCTTTGTACCATGTTCTTCAAGATGCATCGGGGCAAAGATGCAAAAACCATTGATCAGAGGTGATACTTGTTATTACTGCAGCTGTAAGATATGCCACTATGAGCAAATGAAGTGTGGCAAATCCTGATTCACCTGACATACAGTGGTACCTCGGGTTACAGATGCTTCAGGTTACACTCTGCTAACCCAGAAATAGTACCTCAGGTTAAGAACTTTGCTTCAGGATGAGAACAGAAATTGTGCAGTGGTGGCGCGGCAGCAGTGGGAGGCCCCATTAGCTAAAGTGGTGCTTCAGGTTAAGAACATTTTCAGGTTAAGAACAGACCTCTGGAACAAATTACAGGTAAGTTCTTAACCCAAGGTACCACTGTACTCAGAGAATAACACTGGCCTTATTTTCTTCAATTTGCATGAGAACATCTAGAATGTTTAGCTAAGCAGCCTTAATTTGTTTGTTTAGATTAATCGAATGCTATCTACATATGGTTATGAGGAAAGCTTAGAACGGAACTGAATAATTAAGAGTTGGAGAAAACAAGAAGTCACAAAACAGGAACTCTTCTGAAATACAAGCCGCTAAATGGTTTGACTTGAGACCACGTTGCTCCAATAACACTGGAGTGAGTAAGAGTTGCGCTGGGTTTTCTAAGAACAAGCAGGTGGGTAGAACAAGTGCATAGAATGATAGTCAGTGTTTGCTTGGATAGCAGACAAATGTCCAGTGAATGCAGACACAATCAAAGCTGAGTAAGAATGCTAATTATACTGCCTTCGAGTTTCATAGGGTAAAGTACACTCTGTTCATGGGAAAAACCCTCCACACTTTGAGATAGCCTCCCATTGAGTCAGAAATTGGCAGCAATGACACCAGCCCTTTTGTCTCTGGTCTGACCCTAAAACGGTTTCAGCAAAAAGGGGTCATGGCTTTGGATCTGGGAGGAAGTAGAAGAAGGCAAATTACATGGAGAATTCTGTCTGCACCAGGGTTCCTTGGCACCCTCCACTGTGCCCAAAATCTTCACCTTTTCCCAGTTCAGTCAAAACAGATTAGAGGGTATCAGGGATATATTGCAGTTTGCAAAAGTGGGGCAACAGCAAATTACTGGAGCAATGACTTTAAAACAAAGTTGTTGCAAAGCTTCTCATGGAGCATCATTCCTTGCCATGCCCAAATGATAGGTTCATGTGGTCACCTTAAGAGATGACTCGCAGCCTCCATTTATCATTTAAAGGTAAAAATAAAGGGACCCCTGACCATTAGGTCCAGTCGCAGAGGACTCTGGGGTTGTGGCGCTCGTCTCGCTTTATTGGCCGAGGGACCCAGCATTTGTCCACAGACAGCTTCCGGATCATGTGACCAGCATGAGTAAGATGCTTCTGGCGAACCAGAGCAGTGCTCGGAAACACCATTCACCTTCCTGCCGGAGCAGTACCTATTTATCTACTTGCACTTTAACGTGCTTTTGAACTGCTAGGTTGGCAGGAGCTGGGACCGAACAATGGGAGCTCACCCCATCGCAGGGATTCAAACCGCCGACCTTCTGATTGGCAACCTAGGCTCTGTGGTTTAACCCACAGCGCCACCCGCGTCCCGCTATATATTAGAACCTTGGAAATTACAGGTGTCATTTCCCTTCAAATCTGCAAACCTTTATATTGCAGACGAAACTTTAATGAAGGTTTGGGTGTGCTCCACCCAAACTGAAGCACTTTAAGGTTCTATTGAGTTCACTGGGAGAGTTATATTACAATCCTATATATGCCTACTCAAAAGCAAGTCTCATTAAATTCATGGGGCTTGTTCCCAGGAAAATTGGTATAAGATACTTGTTTGGCACCTGTTTAATTTCTGCCTTTGAATCTAGTGGGGCTTGGAAGCCTGCAATCCACAGAATGACTCGCGAGTCTCTGATTTGACTTGAAACATCTTGTTAATACAGTGGTACCTCAGGTTACATACGCTTCAGGTTACAGACTCTGTTAACCCAGAAATAGTGCTTCAGGTTAAGAACTTTGCTTCAGGGTGAGAACAGAAATCGTGCTCCGGTGGCGTGGCAGCAGCAGGAGGCCCCATTAGCTAAAGTGGTGCTTCAGGTTAAGACCAGTTTCAGGTTAAGAACAGACCTCCGGAACGAATTAAATACTTAACCTGAGGTACCACTGTAGCTGACCCCTTCCCCTTTTGTTGCTACAGGTGTCCCAGAAAGTTAATTTTCATTGCTTGGGGTTGAGGTTCATGAGCTGCCTTATGATTCTGGGTGACTGTCACAGGGACAAGTACAGGTGAGCATAGCTACTCCTCTCCAAATTACCTTCTCTCTTCCTCTCCAAGTGCTGTTTGCTTCCTCCTATCCTTCCTCTCTTCTTCTGGAGTTTCCTCTCAGCTGTTCTACTGCTGCTTTGCCCATCAGTTGCTGCCTAGTCCATCTCTGCCATCAACCTGGGATGGTTACTGCACTTTGAAGGCTCACCATTGAATTTGAGGTGCCAGACCACACTTGCACCTACTATCTGCACACACAGCTTGCTGTGATCTGCTTTTTTCTTACCCTCTCCTGGCCATTGTGACCTCATGAGGATGCTGCCTCCTTGAAGGAGAGAGAGAGAGAGACTGGCCATTGTGACCTCATGTTGATAGTGGCCAATGAAGAAGAGAGACTTCTCATTGTGTCTTCGTGCTGATGTTGTCCACCTGAAGGAGAGGGATTGGCCATTGTGACCTCATGTTGATAGTGGCCAACTGAAGGAGAGAAACTTGTCCACTTGAAGGAGAGAGATTGGCCATTATGATCTCATTCTGGTGCTGATAACAATGTGAATGATGAATAATAACACAGGGCATTATAGGGGCATTATTTGGGAATTATAGGGACAGAACTACCCAAACTGTATAGAAATTTGTTCATGTATGCGACTACAGCAGCAAGAATGTTACTTGCCCAAAAATGGAAAGAAGAAGAAGTCCCATCAAAAGAAGAATGGATACAAAAACTTATGGAGTACGCAGAAATAGAAAAACATATCGGAAAAATAAGAAATCAATATCACAAACTTTTTATAGAAGAATGGAAATGGTTTATTGAATATTTACAGATAAATTGTAATCAGATAAGAACATTGGCAGAATTATTGTAACAACCTGCAGTTTCCTAAGAGTATATCTTTAAAGTGGATGAATCAATGAGCAAATTAAGTTGATTTGGATATGCAGAAGGTATTAAAAATAAATTTAAGGAACTGCAGAAAGAGAGGGAAGGAATTCAAGTATTGAAATGTTAAAAGGATTGTAAAATTAGTGAAATGTATAAAATTGAATAATAATAATAATAATAATAATAATAATAATAATAATACAGGGCATTCTGTTGCATAACAAAATATATTTTGTCTTCCAGTGAAAGTAGGGAAAACAAGCTTCCTGAGGAATCCGTCAAACCTTCAGGTGCATTAGTCCTTTGTGGCTTTGTTGGCTTCTGCAGAAAACCAGGGACCTGCATCAGGCTGGACTCTGATTTGGTTCTGTGAGAAACGAACGGGAGATTGGGGTGGGGGGCGGGTTTGCAAAAGCAAATGTTCTGACATGAATTGCTGCCCTAAAGGGGCCTGGCCACCAGGTTGTTTCACATAAAGCTCTAAACAGTTACCAGATGAGCAATAAAAGCAACTTCCCAGAACAGCAGATCAGCTGCAAGCTTGAGTCAGTGCATTTTCAGCATACGGAGCCATGGAGTAGAAACCTTCCCCACCCCCAAGTTGTCCTTACCTGGAACAGTTTGTTTCTGCTATTGTGTTTTGGTCAAATGAACAGGGGGGGGGGGGAAATGCTAGCCATTTAGGATGTGGCTTTGAAGAGGGGTGTGTACATCAGTTTTTCCCATTTGCACACGTGATGAATTGTTCTAATGATCAGAAACTCTATCGATACTTATAAGGAAGATGATGCCGCAATGAATTTGTTAGTCTTTAATGTACCAAGGCTCCAGCCCTTTCCATGCATTGTTTGTGTGTAGGACATGGTAGTCTAGAAAAAATGCCAATGCAGAATCTGATCTGAACATGTCAAACCACTGAGACCTTTATAGATACAACTACAATTTCAAAAAGCCATGCTCCAAAATGGATGAGGAACAAAGACTATTATTATTATTATTATTATTATTATTATTTTACATTTGTATACCGCCCTATACCCACTGCTCTCAGGGTGGTTGCAACATAAAATCTCAATACAGTGGTATCTCAGGTTACAGACGCTTCAGGTTACAGACTCCACTAACCCAGAAATAGTACCTCGAGTTAAGAACTTTGCTTCTTGATGAGAACAGAAATCGCACGACGGCGGTACGGCAGCAGTGGGAGGCCCATTAGCTAAGGTGGTACCTCAGGTTAAAAACAGTTTCAGGTTAAGAACGGACCTCCAGGAACAAATTAAGTACTTAACCTGAGGTACCACTGTATAATGAAGGCACCAGCTGAACCTCCTGGGGAGGGGCATTCCACAAGCAGGGAGCCACTGCAAAAAAGGCCCTTTCTCATGTTGCTATCCTCCAGACCTCTTGAGGAGGAGGCACATGAAGAAGGGCCTCAGAAGATGATTTCAGGGTCCAGGTAGGTTCATATGGAAATGCTTAGTTAAGGCAGACATCGCAGAGAGTGGAATTAAATTTTGTGCTAATATGATCACTCCGTCAGTGCAAACTTCTATCCCTTCCTCCTGGGCTGGGGATTTTCTTGACCCCCTCAGAGCTGATGACATGCAGAGGGAGCAGAAGGGGGAAAGACGCCTTTGAGTTAGTGGGTCTAGTTGTGCCGACTTCTGCTAGTGCAACTGTTCAGCTGAATCCGGCCCATGGATATATTTCATTGGAATACAAGCATACAATGGCTTAGCTCAAAGGCCGTTCACCTGCAGGTGGCTAATTTGCAATTTCAGTGATTTTCTGCAGTGCTAACAAAGGACAAGAGAGAGATAAATAATTGCTTTTCATGCCAGGTGCTTCTTGAGCGGAAAAAGTTATTTGAACTCTGAATATCTGAATCAGAACAGTGTGAAACTCTATTTGAAGTTATCCCAGATGGTCATTTGTGAAATAAAAACTTCAATTTAATGTGCCAATTCAGTGTTACGGAGGCAGAGAATGTGTCACATTTGGATTCTCTATAGCATTGGTACAATTTCCCTTCTAAGTGTCTGTGAAATGTTTTTGACTACTTATAAAACCCATCCTTGCTCATTAATGTAAAATAAATTTTGAAGCCATCACAATATGTTCCTCACATTGATTCAAATGAATAAGAATTGAAACCCGAAAGCAAAGCAGCCCAGTCATGGAATATAAATTAATTTTGGATTTGATTTATTGAATACATACTCTGACTGAAATGTTCTCCATTTCTCAGAATCAGAGAATTGAATCACAATAGGCTGCACTCAGATAACACTTTATTCCATGTTCTTGACATTTCTTGACCTGATAATTTTTGCATTTGATGTGATCTTTCACATCACATAAAAGCCACTCGTAGTTGAAGTTTAGCACTCATATTTGTGTTAATTGTTTCCAGAAAAAAACCCTGCTTGCCACACTGTTAACTCAGAAAACCATCGGAATTTTGTGTTGTGATTTCACATGACAAAATGCAACAGGTGGGAATGTAAAGGAATGTTGGAAATCAGGAGAGAAGTGCTAGTACTACAATCAATAAAAGCAGTTCACATTTTAATGCAAAGTTCCCTAATTCCCACTTCCTGAAACAATTCATGAATCGAAATGCAGCTTGTCCATTGAACTTCTCTGAATTTTGCTATGTAGTTCTCCAACCAAATAATGTAAAAAAAGAAATGTGCGTAAAAATGCATATATTTCAGGAAATTGCTCACAAAGGTGTGCATATTAGGGAAAACTGCATACCAAAATATGTATAAGCAGAAAATGCTGGTGAAGTTTCTTCAGTTTATTTATTTATTTTTTAGAAAAACCATAGACTGATGTGGAAATGAATTGAACTTGAAAAATCAAAGAGAAAAACCAAAATTGACAGGTTAGTCTAGGTTTTCACACAACTTAGGACTCAGCCACACCTCTGTTTACTGACCACTTCCCCCCAGGAAAACCCATGGTTTGGCTCTGAATCAGAACAAACAGTAGTTTGGTTTTCTGCTGATTGTGGTTTGTTCCGATTTAGTTTGAGAGCAGTGGGGAAAAGCAGTGGCGCAGCGGCAAAATCACTTGAACCCGAGCCTAGAAAACTCATAGCAAGTGGGAAACTGCTCAGACCTGTGTTTTCCAGGCACAGGACAAGTGGGAATGTGCACGAGCCCTTAGTTTTAAAAAAAAATCCACAGCATTAGCCCATCTTTTCAAAGTAATGGACTCAAGGTGCCTCTGTATTTTCCCCACATTCTAGGCCTTGCTTGGGGAGTCCCACGATCCCCACAAATGGCTTTTGGGGGGCACACTGGGCTGCAGTGGGGAGGCTAGTACAGTCGTACCTTGGATCTCGAATGCCTTAGCTCCTGAACAAATAGGCTATTGAACGATCAAAACCTGGAAGCTGAATGTCCGATGGGGCTTCCGCGGCTTCCGATTGGCTATAGGAGCTTCCCGCAGCCAATCAGAAGCCATGCTTTGGTTTTCAAAAGTTTTGGAAATCGAATGGACTTCCGGAATGGATTCCATTCAACTCCCACGGTGTGACTGTATGAGGAATTCCCTGTGTGTAAGCATCCTTGTTCATTTGCTGATACTGGATACAATCCTCAGAAGCCTGCAACAGAAATGATAATTAAAAACATTTCTGGAAGAAAGGATTCAAAATGAATAGAAGTGCCTATTCTTTCTTTGATTTGAAAGATTGTGGCAGCACATCACAACTTTTGTAAACTGCGTGGGCATGTAATTGGAATACCTGTTTCAGCTGCTGCAGTTTCTTATATTCCATCTCCTTAGAGCGGACCCATCCATTTGATAAGATTTTCTTCCTTCTGGGTTCAGGTTTCCTACAAAAGGCTTAGCAGAAGCCTTTGATCCCGGAAAATCCAAAGATCCTTTGGAAAGCTTTATGAACTCTAGAGAGGGCACATGAGCTGCCCCGGATTGGAATGACCTTTGCCTTTTTCATCTTTAGCTTTTAGGATAAGCCAGGGCCCTCTCACAAGTCAGGCAAAAGAAAAACCCTCTATCCGACTTGCAGTTCCTAATTAAGATTCCACTTTCTCACTCCCAGGTCACAGGGACATTTGACATCTTCAGAGAATGAAGAGTTGACCGGGGAGGTGGGGAAACTCATACCATCCTATATTGTTAGCAATCACATACAGGGCTTGAACTATTGGGCCAAGGTGGGGGAAGGATTTAATGAAATCTACAAGCCCCACTTCCTGATTTCCCCCTCCCCCGTTTTAGCCAAATCTGCCCCAGAGGGCTAGTCCATGATACTTTGCTTCCTGAAATTGAACAACAAATGGTGTCCCCTTCACCAAAAAGCAAAGAGTTTGGTATCCTAGGCCCTTCAACTGCCCCAGTTTTCCAGGGACAGTGCTAGATTTACAGAAGCCATCCCGGTTTCTGATTTGATCCCAGAATTTACCACCTTTCCTTAGGTCGTCCCTATTTTCATCGGAGAAATGTTGGAGGGTATGGAGTTATGCGACCCCAGAGCTAAGGAGATAAGTAACTATACAACCTTTAGAAGACAACAGGAGGCAGCCATGTATAGGGAAGTTTTTTAATGTTTTTATTATGTTTTTATACATGTTGGCCCAGTTAGATAGGTGAGGTATAATTATTATTATTATTATTATTGAATAGGACTTCCCTATTTTCATCAGAGACTTGTCGGAGGGTATGCAGGCCAGTTATTTTGGTCTCCAAAAATCCCCCATGTACCTATTTTCTGTCCCCAGCAGCAAAACAAACAAACAAACAAACAAACAAACAAACAATTAAATAAATAAATAATAGGCCTTTAGACTGATCCAAGAGGGCTCTTCTTACGTTCTTAAATTATGGTCCAGCAAAGGTTGATTATATTAAATATACGATTGGAAAGGGTAGCGAGCCGGAGTTTTGTCTGAGAGTGTCTTCTAGTTAGGAGACAAATTCCTCAGACTGAAGAGAAAGCCTTTGGGCTGAGCCATTTTTACAGGGTTGAGTTGGATAGGTTCCTGAGTCACCTGTCTTGGTCCAGATTCAACTGATGCAGCTTGTAATGCTGCCTATGTAATGCTCCTTGGTAGCACAGTTCTGCAATTCCATCTGCAAGCATGTTGTTGTCTCAGTGGTACAGGAGATAACGCTGCCAGGAACCCTTGTGTGAAATCCCCCTTGGAGTGGTGTAGCATGTATTGCTAGAGCCCAGCGCCACACGGAAGGAAATTGACTGACAACGGATGCGTATTCAACTGCCTAACGGCGTCTGTGTCACCCAGGAGATCACAGAGATAAGAAAAAAGAGCAAGTCACTTTCTGGGTCCCAGGGAGAAGCCATTTTCAACTGAGCCCAGCAATGGAAGCGCACAGTTGTATCGAGACAGCACTGGGAATCAAAATTGCGAGCCCCTAACAATTTTGTCCCCGGGGCAACTGCCCCTGTGGTGCCCACCACCCCATGCCACAGCCCCCAGTACATTGCAGAGAGGTTTGTTGGCATCCTGTGCTAGGGAAATGCTGTGAACCTCTCCAAAAAGCTTCCCTGCTAGACATTTAAATCAACCCAGAACACCCCTGTCATGCAAATTGTCCTGTTGTTGGAGACACCAGGTCATTCCAGCAACATTTTAAATACTGGAGAAAGGAGCCATTAATAACAACAACAACAACAATAATAATAACAATAATTTTTTATTTGTACCCCGCCCTTCTGGCT